AGTTAAAAACAATAATAATAATAATAATAATAATAATAAATTAAATTAAATTAAATAATTCTAAAAAAATTCCTACATATTTTCTTTACAATTCCTGGACATATTTTTAATTTAGATGTTATTTTAGATTAATAATTAGAATTATTAATATTCTTACCAGTTCTGTCATATGACTCGTGACATGTACGTGCAATTTCTGCCCCCAGCTCTAAATAATGACCAGCTTTATCCTTTCTGGAACCGTCTGCTCCTAGTGCAAACATTCCCCCAGCAAAACAGGCCAAATGCCCCATCTTCTTTTCTAAGTGCCCGTTCTTCCATTCTCCAATAAAGACAAGACCTCCACGAGACTTCTTAATAAGATGCTTTTCTATAGCCTATGAAAATCAGAAGATACACAAAATTTTAAAAACAAGCCATTAGTGTTTAAACTTATCATGTCCTTCTGGCTATCATAAACCTTGATAATACAACATTTTATAATATACTAGTTTCATAAACTGGGAGACTTAATATATAATAAGTTAGTTTTAGAGTGAGTAACCAAATTACATATAACCTGGAACAAATATCCTAGTCACTACTACAGACAGAAAGGGAGAGAGGAGACTTGTCCTAAAGATTACCTTTCTACACAAGACAAGCTTTGTCTTCTTCAGCTAAATAAAATTCATAATCACCAATCAAGATCATTATAAGTTATAACCCCAAAGCTTTACCAATTTATTTTCTATTTCATACAACAAAAATTGAACAGGAAGTTCAATAAGAAAGTATGATTTTAATAATTACTTAAAAATCAGGGTCCCCAGGTAGCATAGTGGTTAAGGTGCTGGATTCCCACATGACTGACCACAGGCTCGAGTCTTGGACGTGGTGGCTTAAAACTCATGCTGGGAACGTGTGTATGTGTATGTGTGTGCCCAAAATCCTGAGAGGAGAATAGAGGAGAAGGAAATGCAGCAGCATGGCCATCCCCCTCGGAGAGTGATTTCTCACTTTCTCTGTCTCTCCAGCTAGCACATACGTCCTATAGCAAAAATCTCTCTCTCAAAAAAAAAAAAATACTTAAAATGTGTTCTCATTTTCCATGTAACTATACCATCTAAGCAAAGTACTTCAAAAAGACACCATTAGGTGAGCTACCTTATATACTATATAGCTTCTAAAACTAGTTGAAAGTTTTCTCTTAACACTTTGTTCTTTACTGCTCAAACTTAGGCAATTTTTTAGAAACTGTGCCAAAGATTAAAAAAAAAAAAAAAAGAAAAGGCCGTCTGAAAAACAATCCATCCTCCTGGAATGTCAGTTTTATTCAACATCAAAGGATGTACGGATGGTAAGGACATAGTATATATTAAATCAGAATATAACATTAAATAGAGAATCTTTTTTTAAAAAAAAATTTTTTTGCAAGAGCAAGTATGTGCTCACCTGACAGATACAAAGAGGAAGAGGGAGCAAAAGTGAGAAAGCAACCCCCATGGGGCATGGTCATGCTACAATCCCTTCTCCTTCATCTCTCCTTCCTGCTGGGATTCTGGGTATGCATTCATACATGCCTGACATGATTTTCAAGCCACCAGGTCTGGGACTCAAACTATGTAGTCAGCCATGTGGGATGAGGCTACCATAACCACCATGCCACAGAGCAGCTCCCTATTTCATTTTAAAAATGAGATTTTTAAGACCTTGGTATTCCTTTGAACTACATTCTTAGACTTTAGTGAGAAAAGTTATGGATTAGTTCCCTACCATCAGAGATATTTCTATGGAAAATGAACTGATATGGCATTAATTTGGTCCCTTTTGGGAAAAATTACTGTATATAATTAGTGACTATACTTTTCACTCTGACAATAAAAAGAATATTTAATTCAAGAATTAATCCACATTTTCACTTTGAGCTATTCTCTAACAAATCCAGTAACAATCAGCTTTGGAATGAATTGTATACTCTATAACAATAATATAAGTCTTACATAACTATAGACTATATCTTTTTCATCATCTTATACTAGAAGACCTATACTGTAGTGTGTATTCAACAACTGTGTAATTAGTAAGCAATTTTACAAACAAATGTTGTTATTACATAATTGCATTTGACCTATTAGGGGAATAAGAGGTGGTTGACAAACTAAAAATGACAAGGGATTACCATTGGATAATAAGTTTTTGTTGTTGTTCTTTAACAATAGTATTCTGAAGCACAATGAAAAACTTAGTTTTTTGAATATGGGGACATTTTTCATCTTTGTGGATCTCATGATACTATTATGTTTTCTGTATACCAGGTACTCCATAAATGCCCAAAGAAAGACATCCATAGCTTTGGTTCTAAATTTTTATATAATTAATATTGTCATTTCAGTTCATTATAACATAAATCTTACTTTGTTATAATTAGCAGATATCCAACCACATCCTCATGAACTTATAAGGACTAAAGTCAAAGGTAGGTAAATATAGGGCTTTTTACCAATAATTCACTTACAGAGCCTTAACCTTAAAACTGCTTTTAAGGTTCTCTTCTCTAAAAATATGACAAATGCCTAAAAATCCAACTTACACAAAATGCAAAACATCTTAATGGCAGCTAAGAATAATAGGATATTATTTTTCTATTACAAGGTGTTAAACCTTTACTAATATTGGCATTGTTTTCCCGTTCTAAATAGACCTATAAAAAGATAAATTTTTGTTAGCTACTTTAAAAATTGAAGATTAAACATAAACTTGATCAAAACATAAAACACATAACTATAAATCGTTTTTTGGGGGTATCAGCTGTTGGCATAATGGCTTATGTTGCTTGACTCCCAAGTAGTTGACCGTGGTTCAAGTCCCAGATCCGGTGGCTTAAACTCATGCCGGTGCGTGTGTGTGTGTGTGTGTGTGTGTGTGTGTGTGTGTGTCAACTATCCTGAGAGGAGAATGGAAGAGAAGGGACTGCAGAATGGCCATCCTACCTGGGGAGGTGATTTCTCGCTTTTTGTCTCTCTGTCTCTTTCTGGTGAGCACCCATGCCCTATAGCAAAAACCTCTCCAAAAAAAGCTTTTTTTTTTTTTTTTTCAAAGTTAAGATGTAGGAACCAAAAATATGGGTATTTCTAAGTGTAGAGGAGGGTAAGATGGGGATGAAATAATTTAAATAGAATGGCACAGAGTAAGGCAAAATTTAAATATATTCCTAATTAGAATGAATTTTAAAATTAAATGGTCACTCTTATCTCTTCCATGCATTCCTTATGCCATTTACTTTATAATTTGTACATACTGTTTCCTAACAATTAAGAATTATTGAAGAGAACTAAACATGGAAAAACTACATATTAAGATCATGCTTCAAAATGAATGCTAAATAATTGCTATTAAAAAACACTTAGTAGGTGCCTGATCTGGACTTAAGAACTCATACAAATGAAATAAAGAAGACAAATATGAAGGGATTTATAATACAGGCACTCTTTACTTAACAGAATTCCATTCTTAAGACTGGGTCATTAAGTGAATTGGTCAACAAGTGGGAGCTTAAATATTGATGTCTTGTGTGTTGTGGCACCACAGGATGTAATACAATACCACAGCAGAATAATTAAGTCTATCCATGCAAAAATCATACATTAGATAGATGCCAGAAAGTGACGAGACTCACAACACAATAACGTAAATCTAGCATAATTGTTTTTATTTAGTCTCAGTACTATTATGGGTGCACAATAAAGTACATATTTATAAACAAAATTTGTAGTCTTGAGTAATTACAAATGTTTCATGTAGTGAATATTAACCAATTGCAGGACAAAACAAAGACTGAGAAAGGGGATTCTTGAGACACAAAGAATTTCCTGTGCTGGAGAACAGGCTATAAGTTTAAGCACTTAAGGCAGATAAGTTGTTAAGTGAGGAGTGGCTCTACATATAACTTAAATAGCAGATAACTGGAGGAAAAAAAAATTTGTAAGAGATTTTTGCTATAGGGTGAGTGTGCTTGCCGGTGAGATAGAGAGATACAGAAAGGGGGATTCCTCAGGGGGATGGCCAGGCTGCATTCCCTTCTCCTCCATTCTCTCAGGATTTGGGGCACGCACACACATGCTTCCAGAATATGTTTTAGGCTGCGGGGCCTGAGGCTCAAACTATGGTGGACTACATGGGAATCCAACAACGTAACCATTACACCATCTGCTGGTCCCAATAATTTTAATTTATAAGGTTAACTTTCTTCTTTTAAATTAATTTTTAAAATTATTATTCATACATTAAAACACTATACATCATTTAGTTTGTGAAGAGACTTTATCCAGCATGATATACACCTCAGTCCAGCCCAGTTGAGACTATTATACGCATCCTCGTCAACAGATAAAAAAACCTTATCTGTGTCCCACAAGTGTCCTACCTGTCCATTTTTCTCCCAAATTTCCTCTCCTGTGCTCTTCCCCTCCCACACTCTCTTTCCACTTTGTCTTTAGTGTCCATTACAATTTTTAATGCTTTTTATGTTCTTTAGTCATAAATTAGCTTTCAAATAGATATTAGGTCTTTCAAAGTATATACGATTATAAAAGCAATGACAAGGACCAACAGGACCATAATGGTTATGTCACTGGACTCCCACATTGTAGGTCGCAGTTTGAGCCCCAGATCTAGCGGCTTAAAACTCATGACAGGCGCATGTACACCAAAAATCCTGAGAGAATAGAGGACAGGGTACTACTGCAGCATGGCCATCCTCCCTGGGCAGTGATTTCTCACTTTCTGTCTGTGTCTCTCCAGCGAGCACACAGTTCCTATAGCAAAAATCTCTCTTGAAAAAAAGAAAAAGAAGCAACAACAAATATAAAATTATTTTCTTTTTCTGTTGGCAAAAACTAAGCAAAGTGAAAAAAAAAAAAGGCTTTAGATTAGGAGTGTTACAAAGAAGCAGCGAATTATGAAGAAAAAAATGACAAATTGGGAACCAGCAGTTAGTGTAATGGCTATGTCGCTGGACTCCCACGTAGTCGACTGCGGTTCGCGTCCCGGACCTGGTGGCTTAAAACTCACGCCGGGCGCGTGTGCGTATGTGCCCAAGATCCCGAGAGGAGAATGGAGGAGAAGGGATTGCGGCGTGACCATCCCCCCTGGGGGGTGATTTCTCGCTTTCTGTCTCTATGTCTCTCTGTCTCTGTCTGTCTGGCAAGTGCACGCGCCCTGTAGTGAAAAACCTCTCAAAAAAATAAAATAAAAAAGACAAATTACCTGGTATACAATAAATCACCTTCTCAAAAACACAAATATTAAATATATTTATCAAATACTTATTGAATACCTATTATGTTTCAAGTATAGTATTAGGTGCTGAGACAATGATGAACAAATTAGTTTCTGTCTTCAAAGGAGCCCCATAATCTAGTATAAATGACGAAGAGCTATTTTCAACACTATAGTTCTAAAAACATTAAGAATATTAAGTATTTCCTACATAATGTCTTTTCTTGGATCAAAAAATTTCTAGGTTTAAATTCTAATAATAGAATGGCACTATTTAACCTTTCAAAATGTAAGAATTCATAAAGAATTTTAAAAATAACATTAAAATTTGGATCTTGATCACACCTTAATTTAGTTCAATATATTAGTTAACATAATCCCTCAATAAACAGTGAATGCCTACAATAGACAAAGCACTGTTTTGCCACATTGACGCTGCACATTTTTTAAAAAACAATTTTTAAAACAAGGTAAAGAATTAGGTCCCTAAAAGTTAGGAATACAAAATGGGTAACAAGAGCCTAGTCTTAATTATAAAGAAAAAATAAAACAACCTCTGAAAACTGATTACTGTCTATGTTAGAATGGTGTTGATATATACAAAATATACAACTCTTTTTTTTAAAGGGAATTTTGCTATAGGGCATGTGTGCTTGCCAGAGAGACAGAAAGTGATAAATCACTCCCTGGGGGGGGAATGGCCATGCATGCCTATGCTCCCGGAGTGAGTTTTAGGCTGCCAGATCCAGGACTCAAACTTTAGTCGACTCCGTGGGAGTCCAACAATATAACCATTACACTATCTGCTGGTCCCCAAAATATACAACTTTTGAAAAGTAATTAAGGGCCAGCAGGTGGTGGGTGTGGTACTTAAAGCATTGGATGCCCCATATTCAGTCTCGGACCCAGCAGCTTGCTTTCTCTCTCTCTCTCTCTCTCGCTCGCTCGTTCGCTCCAGTGAGCACATGTATCCTAGAGCAAATTGAAATAATAATAATAAATGAAATAAAATAAATAATTTTTAAAAATAATAGTAAATTGAATAATTCTTTAAAAATAAATTAGAAATTAAAAAGTAATTAAAATAATTAAAGAGATATGAGTTAACAATAGATCAGAAAGCCAGTAACTTAGTAAATGGTTTAACATGCTTTTCAATTTCACTTTTTGCTTGGAAACATCCCACATAAATGCTTCTTAGAATGAATCTTGTTCCAACTTTAAATTTCCATCATCAAGGAATGAGGTTATATAAACATAACATTAAGAGTAAAGGCTTGGGGAACCAGCCGATGGCATGATAATTACATCAGTGGACTCCTACATGACTGACTAAAGTTCGAGTCTGGGACCTGACGGCTTAAAACTCATACCAGGTGCATGTGCGTGCGTGACCAAAATCCTGAGGGGAGAAGGGATTGCAGCATGGCCATTCCCCTAGTGGGAGATTTCTCACTTTTTGTCTATCTCTCCAGCAAGCGCATGCTCCCTATAGCAAAAATCTCTCTTTAAAAAAGAAAGTCACAAATACAAAAAATTTAATATAAGGCTCTTCTACTAAAATATTAATAAACTTTATAGTGAATGCATCTAATAAAACACTTACATATATTACATACATTTCCTGAAAGCATACAATAAAATGGTTATGACAGTCATCTAGTCACTATCAAATACACTGTATATCAATATGTTAAGTAGAAAAATGTTTTGACAATAATCACCTCAATAGCATCATCATACATCCTTCTAGCCTCATGGTCTGTTTTATCTGACATCAACCATGCTTTCAGTAAGTACTCATAAAAACTGTCTCCCAGGCCACCAACTGATGTATGATCTGTAACAAGAGAGAAAAGACAAAGGAGGAAAAAGAAGACAAAAGAAAATTAAATCACATAATATTCTTTCTATTATATTGATAAATTTAAATTATACTGACAGCTCTATTTCCAAAATATTTCAAATTTAGTCTGGTAGAAGTACACTGTAATCACTCTCCTCTACACATGTATCCAATTTTCTAGAAATTCTTTCTCCTCTGGATGTGATATTTCAGATACTTAGTAGTCTTTTTCTTTGATCACACAGTTTATACATTGTTACATAGCCAAATTTTTCTGGAGTAGAAAGTAACTACCTTTTATATATTAATGACTTTAAATATTAAGCAATGATCAAATGAGAGACATACTTAATTCTGATATTAACTAAAAAGAGCTAAATTTTAGACATTCTTCTACATGATGGCTAATATAAGTCTTTACCATAGACAGTAAGTTAAAATAAATCAAGGAAAAAAAGCCCCCAAATTCCTCTCTAATAACACCTGCATACTATAACTGAATATTGATTCACTACCCTTATTATTTATATGTGTAGATATTTTTACCTATTTGTTTGTCTTAGGTATAGTCTTACTCCATCCTATCTGTACTTTAAATCCTACCCAATTTAGCACTGTAGTTCCCAAGGGAACCATTCTCTTTTACCCTTGACTTTCTACAAACCTTGCCCTCTATTTCTGAACTTTTTCAAAACTCACATCCTCCTCACGTGAAAAGAAAAATATTACAATTGTATAACCCTTTATTGATCCATAGAGTACTTGCACTGGTTTTTCTAGTTAGTAAAGAAGATGGACTATCCAGTGGTTTATGGGTAAAACTGGCTATCCATTTAGAAAAAAATACGTATTAATATTTATAACAAAATTTATTCATGGATGATTAATGACTTAAAAGTAAAACAGAGGGACCAGTAGGTGGTATTAACAGTTCCATCGCTAGACTCCCACATAGTCAACCAAGGTGTGAGTCGTGAACACAGAGGCATAAAACTCAAGCTGGGGCGCAAGTGCTTAAAATCCAGAGAGGAGAATGGAGAAGGGATTGCAGTGTGGTCATACTCCCCCAGGGGGATGATTTCACACTTTCTGTCTCTCTGTCTCTGTCTTTCCAGCAAGCACACATATCGTATAACAAAAATCTCTCTTAAAAAAAAAGTAAAATACAAAGCCATAAGTATATTAGAAGAAAATAACATGCCTAGTCTTCCTAAGTAAATGATCTTAAACAAAATACAAAATGTAGGAGCCATAAAGGAAAAGGTTAAAGGATCATATAGTACCAGCCAGAAGATAAGCAAAATCTAAAAGACAAGAAACTGAATAGGAGGAAGTACCTGCAACATATGTAATATAATAAGAACTAATACCCTAAAAGAAGCCCTCTGACAAATAAGAAAACTGAAGCAAGGCCACACACAATTAACAAAAAAGGAAACACAAATAGATTAATTAACATAAATAAGAATGCTCATCTTCACTAGTGATCAAAAAGTAAATGAAAACAGTAAAATTCCATTTTTGCCAATTAGATTGACAATCATTTCAAAGACTGATAATATCCAGTGTTGTTAAGACTGTAGCTGGGATTCAAGGACAATTTTGCAGTAGCTATTAAAATTTGGGAACCAGCAATTAGCGTAATGGCTATGTCGCTGGACTTCCACGTAGTCGACCGTGGTTCGTGTCCCAGACCCAGTGGCTTAAAACTCACACCGGGCGCGTGTGCGTGCGTGCACAAGATCCCGAGAGGAGACTGGAGGAGAAGGGATTGCAGCGTGGCCATCCTTCCTGTGGGGTGATTTCTTGCTTTCTGTCTCTCTGTCTCTCTGGGTCTGTCTGGCGAGCGCACACGCCCTATAGCTAAAATCTCTCCCCCCCCCCAAAAAATTTACTTTAGGCATTATTCTATAGTACCACTTGCCTAAAAACACAAGACGTTAAAAAAAAATTCATCATGGCATTATTTCCATTAGAAAAAAAAACCCAAAAAACTAAAGATAATCTGAAATGTCTACAGAAGTGGCTAAGTAAATTACAATATAAACATACTATGATGGATTATACAGTCATAAAAAAGAATTACATGGATCTGTAATAGGACACTGAACGATGTTGAGTAGGGGGGACAAGTTTCAGTTTGATAGTACTAAAAATGTGTATGTTTGGGGCCAATAGGTGGCATAGTGGTGAAGGTGATGGACTCTCACACAGTCAACAGCGGTTCAAATTCTGGACTTAGTGGCTTGAAAATCAAGTCAGGCGTGTGTTGTGCAGCCAAATTCTCAAGAGGCAAATGGAGAATGGATTACAGCATAGCCATCCCTCCACAAAAGTGATTTCTCACTTTCTCTCTCTCTGTCTCTACAATGCTGGATCCATATGGAAGCCTAGGGGTTTGGTTCCCCAAGATGACATGTAGATACTGCATGCCTGTGATCTTGGCTGGTTGGGAAGGCTGGAAAAGAGACTATGTCAACTGTTTAAAATAACACTGTATTTTATTAGGTTGTCAGAAAAATCATGGCATATTTTTTTCTATGTTTCTCTATGCACAAATATATCCTGTCTTTTCTGATGACCCAATAGTTATTACCATATTATAACCCCGACTTTTTAATTTTTTGAGAAAGATTTTTGGAATAGGGCTCATGCACTAACCAGAGACACAGAGACAGAGACAGAAAGTGTGAAAGCACCCACCGGGGGGACAGCCATGCCACAATTCCTTCTCCTCCATTCTCCTCGTGGGATTTTTGGACTCACATACACACACGCCCCAGCGTGAGTTTTATGCTGCTAGGTCTGGGATTCAAACCACAGTCAACTATGTGGGAGTCCAATGAAGTAACCATTACACCATCTGCTGGTCCTAACCCTGACTTTCTCATATAATTTATATTGACAGTTCTTTCCAGACTTTCTAGCTGCCTGTTGTCTTTCATCACTTTCTTTTATCATTGTTTCCTAGACTCTGTCATGTTACTTACACTTACATTGAGTCACCTCACCAGGGCCTTTTACCCAACTTGATCATTCTCTAGGCATACTCTGTAGCTATCATCCTCAGACTTCTCTTTTTTCTGCTTTCCCGAGTTAAATTAATTGTTTCCTCAGCCCTATCTACTTGGTCTATATCTATTTTACTGAATCGCATTCTTAGATAATTTCCTAAGATAGAATATGTGAATGTAAACCTTGCTGTATGAAAATGTCCTTATTATGTTTATTTTACATGGGTATCAGATTTGAAAATAATTTTTCCTCAGAGCTTCTTAAATGTGCTTCTCAAATATCTTTTAACATTCAGTATCACTGGTAAAATGTTATAAGTTCAATGGGTTTCTAATCCTCTTTCTACATACTAAACTCACTTTTCAAAGGTTTAGAATCATTTTAACACTAGTTAAATTTAGGTAGAATCTTTATTTTTTCTACACTTATTGTGCTAGGCACTTTTCAAACTAAAGATGAGTATCTTTCAGCTCCGAGAAAATTCTTTTTCTATTACTTTTGCATTTCCTCCATTCTATTTTCTCATTTCTCCTTCCAGAAACAGTGTAGTGAAAACTGGACCTCCTGGTACAGTGTAAAGCCCAAGAAAGATCAGTAATAAAAATGATTTACATGGGGAAGTGAGGGTAGCAAATTTTTTTCTTTAGGAGGCCAGATAACAGGCAGACTCTGTTGCATATTCCTCCATTTTACAGTTGTAGATAGAGGATGAAGATCTTGTTGGTTGAAACAACCAATTAGAAATGTAAAAACTGGGACCAGTAAGTGGCGTAGTAGTTAAGTCCTTGGACTCCCACATGGCCAACTGTGGTTTGAGTGCTGGATCTGGTGGCATGAAACTCATGGCGGGCATGTACAGCCATGTCCAAAATCCCAGGAGGAGAATGGAGAAGGGGATTATGGCCATCCTCCCTAGGGCGTGATTTCTCACTTTTGTTCTCGCTGTTTCTGTCTCTCTGGTGAGTGCACATGCTCTTTAGCAAAAACCTTAAAAAAAGAGAGAAATGTAAAAACCATTCTAAGTGGGGCTAGCAAGTGGCATGGTGATTAAAGTGCTGGACTCCCACATGGTCGACTGCAGTTCAAGTCCTGGAACCAATGGCTTGAAACTCCCACCAGGTGTGTGTACGTGTATGTGTACATGCCCAAAATCCTGAGAGGAGAATGGAGGAAAAGGGATTGCAGCATGGCCATCCCACCCCCTCCCCACCGCCCATGGGGCGATTTCTCACTTTTTGTCTGTGTCTCCTTCAAGTATAGGAAAAAATATCTCTCAAAACAAACAACCAACCAACCATTCTAAGTTAGCAGACCATACAAGAACAGGCCACAAGCTGGTCTGCCAATCTATACTCATAATATGGATCTCCTATAAGAAGAGACAAGGTTGGTAAGGTAAAATAAAAAAAGAATAGGAATATAAATATTTAAGAAGCTGCTTTAAGATTAAACAAATTCCCATCCCTTAAAAGTGGACCAACTGGGACCAGCAGTTAGTGTAATGGCTATGTTGCTGGATTCCCATGTAGTTGACCAACTGCGGTTCAAGTCCCGGACACAGTGGCTTAAACTAATGCTAGGCATGTGTGCACACATGTCCAAGATCCTGAGAGGAGAATGGAGGAGAAGGGATTGCGGCAAGCGCACGTGCCCTATAGCAAAATCTTCTCCAAAAAAAAAAAAAAAGACCAACCTGTGTCATGTTCTACCTAAATTAATGTGGTGAAAAGTAAGTGTGTCAATTTCAAACATAAGCCTATAGAGGTCTTCTATGTTCCACTTCTTTTTGAAGCACTCTGATACTGTCATATAAAGAAGTACGACATAGGTCTAGCAGATAGTATAAAGGTTAAGGTAGCTGGATCCCACATGGCCAACTGCATGGTTCTAATCTTGAACCTGGTGGCTTAAAAACACATGCTGGGCATGTGTGTGTATATGGACAAAATCCCAAGAAGACAATGGAGGAGAAGGACTGC